AACCAACTCGAGCTTTTCATCATTAAATTTAATTTCTGTTAGTTCAGCTTACACTAGGTAACATAATCTTTACACATTTCGTTTTTTAGATCATTTACAGTAGTATTAGATCAGATTATTTAAAGAATTATCATCTGCAAACAATACTATATCGCATAAAGTTTCGACAAAGCAAGGCAAATCATTTATGTATGTTACAGACAGAAAGGGACCCTGAATAGATCCCTGAGGTACGTACTCCCATTTTTAATTGTGAACGAGATGATCTCGTACCGTTTATATCGATATTTTGGGTTCTGAAACTTAGGTACGACAATATTAGTTGTAGGGCAGAGTCTTTGATACCATAGTAATTTAGCTTCGTTACCAGTATACAATGCTCAACGCAATTAAATGCCTTGGATAAGTCACAAAATGTCCCAAGAGTATTCTGTGACACGTCCCTAGCATTGAATATATGTAGAAGTGCTGCACCAGCATCAGTAGTAGAGCAACCTTTTGTGAAACCATATTGTAGAATGCAGTAATGCTGCATACATTGAAGTAGGCAGTAATTTATTTAAGTTAAAGTAAGACAATAACTCTTTAAGAATTATTTTTAAATATATCAACCAAGTAAGGGGAAAGGGGCAATAACATGAACTATACTTTTAATAAAATTAAGAGATATGCCCCATAAATAGTATGTGTTTTTTTTTTATTTTCAGACATTTGAAAGTTTTAACAATATCTAAGAAATTAATATATTTAAATTTAAACTGACTGTCTAGTTCAGGCACGTATATTTCTAAAAGAGCCTTTGCGGCAGTTGGTGAAGAATTTAAACCAGAGATTGTTTTAATTGTTATGTTTATAAAATACTAATTAAATCTATTAGCAATTTAATCATGAGATTAATGGTTGTATTATTAATAATTAAGTGTCAGAATATCTTCACTTATTTGCTCCTTCACAGTTTATTATATGGGAGTTGTTTTGAATTTATTATTGGAATTCTTTATTTCCTTTTTAATAAAATTTGACTTTGACGCAGAACACACCCTTTGGAATACTTTTGAATAGTTCTTCACGTAATCAATGAGATTTTGAGTGTGGTTATATTTTCTTAAATCGTATAATTCATAAAGTTTGTTTCTATTTTTATAAATACCTGTCGTAGCCCAGTCACAGAACTCTTACTGTAACGTTCTCGGTCGGCTACTGTGCAACTTTTACGGTCTTACATGGGAAGACCTTTTCAAATTCATTTTTTAAAAGACAGAACAGATTACTATAAAGAGCATCAGAACCATCATTTCGCCATACCATCTTAATTAATTTCTCATCTATATTATTTGTAAAATTATCTTGGCGTATTTTAGTAATTGGTCTACACTTAATCATTTTAGGCTCATTAGTGATATTAATCCTATATATGGTCTTGGTCCATAATAGTCGGATATAAGATTATTGAATACTAATTTATTAATTGGATCATAGTCAGAATATATATTATCCAAACAAGTTACTACTAATTATCATACTATCTAATATATCGGCCGATGTTGCCGGGGATGGTCTTCACAATACCCCTCTGCAACATATCGTTGTATGTAAATAGAGTTGTTGTATTTTAATTACATGTGTCAAAATTAATCATGATCATCATCATCAGCCCTTTTACGTTCCCACTGCAGGGGCTCAGGCCTTCCTTATGGATGGTTAAGGAGGATGGGCTATGACCCTCCACGATGGCCCAATGTCGTATTAACGACTGCAAATGCAGCCAGGACCAACGGTTTCACGTGCCTTCGAAGCACGAAGTAACTCGAGATAATAATTTTTTGGTCACCCATCCCGTGACCGATCCTTGAGAAAGTTGCTTAACAACAACGATCGCGGGCCGCGGCGCTTATCTTCTACGCCACCGAGCTACTGTAAAATTAATGCTTTAAACATACTCGTATGTCTAAATTATTGTTTCTGTAAAGAAAACATTTATTTATGTTGCTGGGTAGCATATCTTTTACTTACAACGGAATTGGAAATCAACGAAGTTGTTACATACTGCAGTAACTGCATAAAAATAACACGACTGCTTATTTCAAAACCCTGGTTGGCTGTATCATTGATACAGCCATATTTTATGCGTGGATACGTTTATGTATGAATAGATATATGAGTAATTGATAAAAAAATAAATAAACAAATTGAAGACACTAAACACTAAATAAATAAATATTCGTTGCGTTCATTTGTTGAATGAAAAAAGTATTCACTAGCGCCAACAGATGGCGTTAGTGCATATACTCCTGCTGACAGAATGCCCCTCCCCCTGCAGAGCAAGCATAGTTCACTTATACGCCAATTCTACAGGGGTAGAACGAAAACATAGACGTATCCACGTCAACAAAATAATACGCTCAATATAATTATAAATATTTTGTGATAATATATATAACTGTTTTGTTTTTATTGAAAGATTAATCTATATATAATTGTAGACATTATGACTTAAGTCTAAGACCCAATAAAAAAGAGAATGTTTATCTATTTACTATTTATTTTTTAGAGTCACTAATATTAAATATATGTATATATATAAAACTTAATATATTAATGACTTACCGAAACATGTAATTGAAATCTGCTAAATATTTCGGTCTTACCAACATAAAACTAGTTTTGATTATATAGCAATATAATAAACCAACACACGATATACCTATAAGTTGTAACGTAACATTATTGTTTTGCATTAGTTAATATTTAGTGTGAGAAACAGTTTGAAATATAGAACACGAGATAATTTTAAAAATAAATTATAATTATTAAATATTTTTTAATAATAAAATAAATTATAATTATTAAATATAAAAAAAAAAACAATTAAGAAAATTTTGTTATAATCGTAGAAAAGATATATTCGTTAAATGTTAGACGGAACCTTCAATTTCTACGTTCTTTCGCAATGGTTTTACTGCGCTTGTTTGTGACTCGACGCATCGCTAATATTGTAGGTAATAAATGCAAGCCGATTCTGGCTCGCCGCTGATAGCAAACTGAGCAGTCACAAGACGACTAACCGTCTCACTAACTAAAAGTTGAATTTTGAACGCAACGTATTTTATTTTCGATTTTCTTATTTAGATTGCTGTAAAATAATTATCGAACTGTATTTGTTTCCTGTCCAGAGTACTGTTAGTATTATTACAGTATTACCGAAAGCTGTGTACTTATAAAGTTTAAGTCCAAGTGTTTTACATTCCCATACGGGAGCTTTGTAGGAGTTCAAGCCAAGCCAAGCCAAGCTGACCATCCACTACTGCTTGTGTTATTCCTACCTACTACCGCTAATTATTCGTGCTTCGTGCTTCGCTTCGATTAAGATCATCCACTACTACTCGAGCTGATCTAGTATCTACTACGGCAACTCAATAACCTTGCTTCGTACTACGCAACGAAAAGTGGCTGGACGCTTAAAAGAATAGACCAAGGAGAGTGGTATTTATGGGACAGAGTGGACTGTCGTCTAAGCTGTGACCTGGTTTTAGGACCCAACCGTTCTACCTTCTTTTATATATTTTTTGAAATAAAAAAAAGTTAATTATATTTGCTGCGTTTTTCTTTGTCCTTTTATTATGTCTTTTAAATATATATGACACAAGAAAGACGTGACAAAGTCCAGTTTAAAAGAATAGATTTCATTGAAACAAGTATCGAGGTCAATTAAACAAATGTGAGGTTTCTTGGAAGCAAGAATCAGAGTCTGGGTAGCATATACTGTAGAAAGATTAACAAATATCCTAATTAGATGAGTTGATAATGATCGAAATGCAGATTACAACTAAAACCAAACAAACAAAAAGTGTTCATTCAAGTACCCATCCTTGTACATGGCACTCACGGACAGTGGATTATCATTGGTAGTAAGTGCGTGTTTGGGCGGAACGTAGTAAACGCTGCAAGAGACATGTTCATGCAAATGTCCGCTATAGTACTTTTATTTTTTGTACTTAATAATATTGGCTGCGTGCATATGAGTGAGGGACTGTCCGCATTACGATTTTTATTCGCGCGAATTTTATTTCGTAGTGACATAACACTTTGTCCGCATTGCGACTATAATTCAGCATGACGAACGTCTAAAAAACCGGCCGAGTGCGAGTCGGACTCGAGCACGAAAGGTTCCGTACCGGAAACGAGCAAAAAAAATCACGTTTGTTGTATGGGAACCTCCTTAAAGATTTATTTTATTTTGGTTTATAGTATTTTTGAAAATTTCAACTGTGTAACTTTCACTGTTCATGAGATTCAGCCTGATGATAGACAGACAGCGCAGACTTAGTAATAGGGTTTTACCCTTAAAATAACCCTAAAAGTGAAACAATTTCAATTTGATAATTTGTTTGATTCAATTCAATGTATGTTTCTTCTTACAATCAAGTTTTTAATGGCCTATCATGGTAGTTTGTTTGAAATTTGTCCCATAGGGCAGGCCTATTTTGAATTAGCATTATAAACATTTCAATATCAACATTTTAACATCATGTCAATATCAACTCCCGTCTACTCGGCGGCCGCCGAGACGAACCGCATAATATCTAATATCATTAAACCTTTCCACCGCGAGTGCTGATGCAATGTACGACTGAGCAATCGCGAAAATCTGTAGTTTTGAAAACGCGATTTTTTTTCCGCGCGAATTTGTTTTCGTAAGTGCAGATATTCCGTATGATTCAGTGAGTTACAGAATTGCGATAATAAATTCGCGCGAAAGAAAATCGCGATACGGACAGTCTCTAAAATATTAGAGCAAATTATCATCTGACACACTATGCGTACATTAATAAATTAGAATGCTTGGTCTTCAGTATTTCATTTTCTTTGATTGAATACATTAAATTCATAAAAGTATCTTATTGATAAACATTTTATTTTTAGTTTTTCTTCTAAAATTTCATACCAACTTTTGCGTGATCGGAAATAGCTTTATATTCTTGTCTATGGCATTATGGCTACTTTGATAGATCGTGTTGCGCGGTATTGCGTGATCCGATTGTTGAATTACATGTTATTATGGCAAAAGGTGATAAAGAATTAGAAAAACCTATAGTGAATAATGAATTACCGAATCCAGAATGTCGTGCTATCGATCATGAAGACTCTGAATCGCCACAGGAACAGCCTTTGGACATAGGGGAGCATTATTTGGTGCGGCGTTCGGATGAGTCATGGCACCCGGCTGAGATAATACAAACGCGATTCAATGCAGCCGAATCCTCTTATGAATACTATGTTCACTATGTGGGTTACGATAGGAGGCTGGACGAATGGGTTTCCCGCCATCGGGTCATGTCCGACAGGTTTGACATGTGTGAACAATCAAATAACAACATAAACTCAGATCATCTTCTCACCGATAAATCCGGCCGGAAAATTACAAGGAATCAAAAACGTAAACACGATGAAATCAACCACGTTCAAAAGACTTATGCGGAGATGGATCCTACGACCGCAGCACTTGAGAAAGAACACGAAGCGATAACAAAAGTTAAATATATCGACCGGATTCAAATTGGAAAATATGAAATTGACACATGGTATTTCAGTCCTTATCCTGATGAATATGGAAAACAGTCAAAGTTGTGGATCTGTGAATACTGTTTGAAATATATGAGAATGGAAAAGACTTACCGATACCACTTGAGTGAATGCACAGCGAGACAGCCACAAGGCAGTGAGATTTATAGGAAAGGGACAATAGCTATTTTTGAAGCTGATGGTAAAGAACATAAAATCTATTGTCAAAATTTGTGCTTGTTGGCAAAATTGTTTTTAGATCATAAAACATTATATTTTGATATAGAACAGTTTTTATTCTACATATTATGTGAAGTTGACAAGCAAGGAGCACACCTTGTCGGTTATTTCTCTAAGGAGAAAGATTCTCCGGAGGGAAATAATGTAGCCTGTATATTGACATTACCTCCTTACCAGAGACAGGGCTATGGCAAGTTGCTTATTGCTTTCAGCTATGAATTATCAAGGTTAGAGCAAGTTGTTGGCAGTCCAGAGAAACCTCTCTCTGACCTTGGTAAATTAAGTTACAGATCATATTGGTCATATGTTTTATTAGAAGTTTTGAGTGCTAGTAGGGGCACACTAAGTATCAAAGATCTTAGTCAGATGACTGGTATTTCTCAAACTGATATCATATCAACATTGCAATCTATGAACATGGTAAAGTATTGGAAAGGGCAGCATGTTATTTGCGTTACACCTAAGATTGTGGCAGAACAATTGGCTAGTTCACATTTTAAAAAGCCTAGATTGTCTATAGATCCATCAGCTTTACGTTGGACCCCTCCTAACAAACAAGGGAACTCTGCCAAAGCTAAGAAGTAGTACAGGCTCACAGGCAGGGCTTAGAGAAAGCTGATTTAGTCACATCCAAAGACTTCTCTAGGTACAGGCCTGTTTAAAATGAAGAACCTACATTTGGTTTATTAAATGCAGTGAATAGATCAGTGCTAGAGTATTAATTTGTACTGTAAGCTTGGAAATAGTTAAGTAATGAGTAAGATTAAAAATAATAAGACGCTGCATTTGTTTGTACTACATAAATAGTAAAGACTTTTCAAACAAGGGAATGTTAAGCATTTCATTCAAGTTATGTTAGAAGCTAGAATTAAAATTTATTAAAATCTTATTGGTATACATTGGTAAAGAGAGTATTTTTTTCTAATGGAAAGTTATAATAGAGATACAACACAATAATAATGTTAAAAATCAGATAATATTGTAAAATATTTGAACAGTAGTGGATTTAGAATATTTTTATTCAAAGATTTTTAATAACCAAATCACATCCTTTATCAAAAATAACATTATTGTTACTCTTCATGTTTAATAAAAAAAAACACCATTGTAAACATTCATAGGCACAACTTAAAATTTGCAATTTTTGAGTTAAATCAATTTGCAAATACCTACCTTACCTCTTCTAAGTTAGGTTAGCTTTAATTAAACAGTAATTATTTGCTAACAATTAATGAATTCATAACTCTTTTTACTAAATTGCCCACTGAAGTATTTTAAGACCCTAATTATAAGTATGGCTGTGTAGTGTTGATTTTTATGCTATAAATATTCAGGGGCAATTTATATTTTTTTTAATAACTTAATAGATCTGCTTTAAAAATTTCAACCAGTTCCTTTTTTTGTATTGTGTAATAGTGATATTAATTTTAAGTTTAATAGTAAAAGTTTTCATCACCTTTAATATTTGTTGGTCAGTTTACCACAATAATTTAAACTAGGTTTCACTACATAGAAATTCTATTGGATATTTTGACTTTGATATGTAATATCAATATTGTATAAAAACTTAGTACCTTCATAATTGTAATGAATCGCATCATCTATGAGATGAGCGGCGCACTAACCGTTAGATGGCGTTACTGTAACAATAAGGATGCCGTTAATGAACAACGTGTTAGTTTGTAACTATTGTAAGTTTAAGCTTGGTTTTAAATCATAAGAATTAGTACCTATACTAATTAGGTTCTCGCAATGTTTATCTTTGCTTCTAACAATTTGCCATTAAAGAATGTCGAATTGTGTCAAAATGAAAAAAGATCTTCCCATTGCCGTGGTATTTAGATTCTGTGAATCATTAGTTTTCACTGTTTATTTGTGATAATTGTTTAATTGTAAGTGAAAATGTCAAATAAAAAGATTTAAATGTGAACTTGTTTTATATTTGAATTAAGTCTTATTACAATAACAAAGGAACGAGTAGAAGGAAAAAAAGACAATTGACAACTTAATCTGTGAACACGGAACCTGAAAAAGGGCAGAAATGTCATGCTACGTCATGAAATCAAATACTTATGAATGCTACACCCGTTCAAAATAGTTTTATATTACAACAAAGGATTTTTTGTTATGCATCAAAAGATAGGCAGTCTGAATAATCTTATTTGCTTGATTTTCTTACTGTCATAATGAGTGAATCTAATGAAGAAAGTATATACGTTTTAAAAGTTTATTACAAAAAAGGTATATATGCAACGCGAGCCGTAAAAAAAATGTGATGTTTATGGACTCAGTGCAGTTTCTGTGAGAGTACATAAGGTGCAAGCGTATGCATACTATACGCGAAAGGACTCCCCAGCCTAATATATTGACGCAGCTTAAAAAAAAGATTGTAATTGTAATCACTATTTAATTTGAAGATCTTATGTGTTACGTTAATTTTTTGGTTGATTTTATTCGATAAGTAATCATATTATAATAATTTGGTTCATAATTGCTTTCTTTATTTTCATTGTGAATTTTGATTTATTGTGGTCTTTATTATTTTGATTTCTAAGAAAGAGAAAAAAGAAAGACTAGACGATATATATTTTTTTTGTATGACAATGTACAATAGACATGTCGACAATATATTTTATCGAGGAGTTCGATGGTGTAATGGACAGTGCGTTCGGTCTGCAATACAGAGGGGTTAGCAACTTTTGCAAAGGCCGGTCACAGGATGGGAGTCAAAAATATATTTATTGATATTTCGAGCTCTTCTATTTCGCTGTATTTGCAATCGTTGCACCACCCATAAACCCGCACTGGGCCCGCGCGCTGGATTATGGCCCGTCCTTACAATTTTATTGAATGTTTAGGGAAAGCCTATTCTCAGCAATGAAGCCACAAATCACAAGAAACACCTCTACGTTTTGTTGTTATTTTATCCTATTACATTGTAGTATAGATTTAATTATAGGTTGTACGGGTATTGTAAAATTTTTGATACGACCAATTTTTTTTACTCTATTAATCTGACTAGAACTATCTAGAACTCTGATAAATATCAACGGATATATATCGACTGATATAAACGTTGGTATATATAATATTTATTGTTAGTTTGAGTATTGAGTCTCAGCTAAAAAATTAACTAATAGTATTGGGCCGAAGATTGCTACATCTCACTAGAAATTTCGGGTTTTCCCCGTAATATGAAGGCGAAGTGCAAACGTTTATTTATTTATCTTATAATGTAGTTCACGTTATTAAGTTTACTTTAGTAAGTAGGTAAGAAATTGGGTATTCCCCTAAACATTACTGGAACATTTTCATTATTTTATAATAAATTAACAAATATTAAATATATCACTCAATCTTTATTTCACACTTTTGATTTAAAAGATCAAATATTAAATAACGTCACTAGCAACTTAAAAATCGCATTTTTTTCTTCCGATATTTATCCGATATATAGTATAATATATATCGGATAAATATCGGATATTTTGATATTTATTATAAATATTGGATTTTTGCGAACCCTGATCAGGATTAGGCATGTGCGCCGATGCCGAAATCTTCGGCGGCGGCGTGGAGCTAAAAATTCAGTGGCGGCGGCGTAAATGGCGGCGCAAACGGCGTCGTTATGTCAAATGATGGAAAATTAAAATCAAACAATTCAGAATGCCTTTATTGACATAACAAATATAAAAGCTACTTAAACTAATAACACCTTTTAAGTAACAATCAAATATGGCACAACTATACTCTTCTAAATTATGTAACGTAGTCATAATGATATTAAACAACAATATGTAGGTACTATTTTGTTCGATAACTTTTTGCCATCTTGTAGGTAGGGACATGAACCCATTGCCATAGAAATTTTGGGGCGTCTAATCAAGAAACCGCGTCAAGTGGTTTTGACAATACACGCGTGTTGTTAACTGGACACTGCTTAAAAAATTCTGTAGAGACCTAAGCAGGTGGAAATCTGAAGGGGCAAGGTCAGGACTACACGGCAGATGCATTAACACTTTCCAGCCAAACTCTTAATTTATTGAAAAACCACTCCCTTTCTATTGATTAATTCTGTCCAATTTCTCTCAATTTCTTGCTTTTATCTCATCGGTTATTCGAATTAGAGTTCACAATCGATGATGCTGCCTGATGGTAACAGCTCATAATGAATAATACCCTTCCAATCCCACCATACAAAATGCATCACCTTTTTGCCAGCTAACCCGGGTTTCGCCACAGTCTATAAAGCCTGACCGACCATTGACCACGATTTTTTTCGCATTTTCTTGTCGTACGTGATCCAGTTTTTATCACCAGTTAGAAAAACAAATGAAAATCACACACTTTCTTAATTTGAATTCGAAATCTTCTTTAAAATTTAAACTTTTTATTGATACCGCAACCAGCCATATAGAAATGGAGAGATTTTATTTTATGCCAGAGAGATTTTATTACAACTTTATGCATACGATATACGAAAAGACTTTTTCCCCAACCTAATAGTTATCACGTATAGAAATTATTTTATTGATATTCCCAACACAATCGTTTAACCGTTTTTGTAAGACCAGCTACAGAGAATACACGTTTGCTAGATGTGCTTGTAGCGGGTTAGCTAGTGTAGACAAATAAGGGTAAGTATTTAATTTTTTATTTCTGCCAACTTCATCTTGAAAACGAGTGCTACATTAATTGTACAAGATTGCCAGCTGTAATTAAAGAAGAAAGATTCGATTGTTTATTTGTTTGCATCTGTTAATTGACTTTACTTTTGTATTCATTAAAATAAAGCTAAGCAACCGAGCGAACGAATGTTACTCGCAGTTCGTGTCATCCCGCGCCGTTTACGCCGGTCTTTCGAACCGGTCAGCGGCGGCGTGTCATGATCGGCGGCGTCGGTCATCGGCGCGGCGCGGCGCACACGTCTAATCAGGATGCAAGGGTTCAATAATATTGCTAGATATTAAAATAATCTAGGTACCTATTCTAAAAGAAATAAAAAACGACCATATCTATCATTTCATTTATTTTCATATACACCATTTCGTTTGCATATAGATCAATGAATATAAGTGTTCGGTCCGCATATTTAATATCGCTTCAATCGCTATTTGTTTATTGTGCGCGTTTATAAAACATAGGCCCATTAATGAAATCAGATTATTTACTGTAAACATCAGTGCTGTCTGGTTACATTTGATATCAGACATTCACTTCATTATCAACAGAGTTAGGTCACAAAATTTGATAAGCTCGCTATGCATTATCGGATAACGCGTTAATAATAACGTAAATTCGTTAAAACGTTTAATATTTTCAGATTCATTACAATTCCAGAACATAGTATTTTTCTGATTTATTGTATGAAATACACTCGTACAATACAATCGAGCAAAAAGGCGCATACGCAATTGAATACTCGTATTGACGAAAGAAGTAATAACTTGAGAAAAATTACATAAAGCAAATGTTTTACCAAGAGAATTTTGATGAAGGAAGAACTGCCAACAGCTAGTAATATCAGTATTCTAACTTTTAAGAGCTCTTGATCCATTCGAATTTTAGTTTATTTCTTAAAAATATTTGCTTAAATTATGTAATTTCCTCAAATAATTTTTTCCCTCGACTACAGATGCTGTTGTATAACAAGTTTTTACACGATCTAGGGTATAATTCTGCGGGCTTTGAGCGAGGTATTCCGCAGGCATGCCTATCGGAATTCGCTACTATAGGTCTGTGTGATGGATGCGTTCCTCGTTAGAGTACCCCGGTTTAAGACCGAAGAATTATACCCGAGGTCGTATAAAAACGTGCCTATGTATGCATACGGCTGTTTCGCTCAGTTATATGTACAATCAACAGCACGTTTGTTTATACAAAAATATCTGATTTCCATTTATTATATTGAGAGTATAAAAACTCATTTGACGAATATCATGACGTACAACAAAATGCACTGACCTTGGCGTCTAAAACTCTAACACACAATTGCACAAATGTCCATTCAAATTGTTTTTATTTAGCGAAGGGAACATTTATTACAGTCTAATGTTATTATACAATTTAAATGGACATTTCTAGAATAGTTTTGGTAAATTTGTATATTTAATTTTAGTCCCGCACATTAATTTAAATATGCGCACCGACAAATGGGGCTCGAAAATTCTAAAAACAACGACAACCTACTTTCCTTTGGTTAACATCCATTGAATAGGAATATATTTTAAGGAAATTTAAAAATAAACTATATTTGGTTCACATTATCCTTTGGTTTTAGTAAAACGAAAATACTGGCAGACATTTTACGCTACACAAAAAATTATTTAATACATCTTACAATTAGTTCACTGAAACACTGAACTTTAGCATTTATTATTCAACACTTATTACATACAATATATACGTTTTTTTTTATAAGTTTATTGGTTTTTATTATCATCAGAACAGATTTCTAATCAACATATGCGTTATATATCTACATACTAGATATTTAAGTAATGCTACTAAATTACAATTAGTGTACATAAGATTTTTCACGATTATTATCAGTTAAACAATATAAGTCAAGGGCACAATATAATTATTTCGAAAAGATTTCATATATTTTTCATTATTAAAATATTTTCGATGCTAATACATAAAATATGAATAGAAGAGTTATGTCAAAGTGCAGTATTGATGAGAAATAATTGTGTACAGTCAACAGCGCGTCAGGTTATAGCCAATCTGCCAAATTTGTGGGTAGTTTGAAATTACTTGCAGTTGAAGTGTCATTCGTAAAGTCAAAAATAGCTACCTTATTTTCAATAATTTATTTTATTTATAACTTCTCTATATTTTTTTAGTAATATACGTACGTTTGTTTTAATCACATTATGTAGCTTCTACTAGTATTATTGATATTTTGAATGTCGATTAAGTTG